CACCTCTTTTTAATCCCCCTGTGCAGACTGTCACCCCTGGTTGTTTTCCTCCTCAAATGTGTTTTTCTGTCCCACTACCTCCCATCCCTGTGCCTCCCCGTGTTCAGGTGCCCAAGCGCATTGAAGTTCACTCCATCCACACCTATGTGGCTCTCTACAAGTTCCTGCCTCAGGAGAAGAACGACTTGGAGCTACAGTCAGTCCAATTTTTTTGTATAATGTACTGTCTGTGTGTGTGTGTATACGAGAGTAATCAGATGAATGAGGAGTGTACCTGGCCAGAATTTGATAACATTCACACGCCATCTGCCTCCTCAGCGGGACGATCGCAGGGGGCTGCAGGGTTCAGGATCGGAGGGAGGGGAGCGTGCTGGGAGGCTGGGAAGGACAAACAGCTGCGTTGAGTGTGTGACATAATAAAAAAAGAAAGAAAGAGTCTTTGTATGTTAGTAGGTGCAGGAAACTGCTGAGTGTGGTATGACACCCACCACTAATCTGGTGGATGCGTCTGTGCAAGAAGACAGCACACGAGGCGTTTCTTCACATGGATAGAGCAGTCCTTCGGAGAAACAACTAATTTCATGGTGACATTAACTGTACTATACATTAAACACGATAGAAAACAGGCATTTAGGGACGCGAACCATGCAGTGATACTCTACTAATGTAATCTTTTAACTTATATGTGGAACCCAAGTGTAAAAAAAAACAGTCTTTTTGTGCACTTCTTGCAAGACACAACTTGTCGTTTTTACATGCAATGCTAGCCATTTCCCCCATTGCTTCCAGTCTTTATGTTAAGCTAGCTGGATGCTGGCTGTAGTTTCCTATTTAGCATACAGACATCCAAGTCGGCAAGAAAGTGAATAAGCGTAACGCATTTCCACAAATGTCCAGCTATTGTGCTGCACATTTTTAGATGATGTCATTTTTAAATGTAAAATGCTTTGTAAATGCTTTTAAAAATTCACGAGTCTTCCTATCGAGCGCTTTGTTTGTCTGTCTCTTTTCCCTCCAGGCCTGGTGACAGAGTTCAAGTCACAGATGACTCCAATGAGGACTGGTGGAAGGTGGGCTATTAAAAATAACTTCCTATTCAAATGCCCTGAAGTCCTGTTTGACCATTCAGAATGATTACATTTATCTCTTTCTAAGCCAGTGCGTAGATGGGGAAAAAAGATTATCACCACAGATATCAGGATTGCCTTTGAATAGATAAAACAGTAACGCACACAACTGCAGTTAGACAGTCGTAGAATTAGTAGTTCCTCCATTCAAAGCAGAGCTGTTCGGAGACGGTAAGATTAAAGAGCTGGAGGATGTGCCTGAAGGACAGCAGGTGTGGGTGTTAGCAAAGCTAGTTAGCATGAAGAGGAAAGGAGGAAGAAGACAGATTGCAGTCGGTGTTTAATGAGGCAGCTGAAGATCTTAACCTTCACCTGCCGAAGGACAGGCAGGTCTTTACGTAAACAAAACACCAGGGAAAAGTGCTCGGTTATCCACAATAAAATTGCAGCAGAGTAACCATATTTATGTAACTTATATTACTGGTATAAATAGCCACAGAAGTCAACAAGCTATAAGTGGTTCATTCAGTTACCTAGAGATTGTCTTTGCTTCAAGCTGAAAAGACTGATTTCCAGTCGGATTACAGGAAAGGAACAAAAATCGTTCCTCTTCTCCAACTGTCCAGTTCATACAGGAATGTTTATAGTGAGGCAACGGAATCTGTACTTTGTAATGTATGTGATTTAAATGTGGTACAATATTTACATCAAAATACATGTAAATAGATGTAAAATGGTACAATTATACCAAACACTTACTTATAATAAGAGTAATTTCCACCCATGCAAACCACATTCCACAGACAATTAACCCCCTATCCCGTCATTTTTGTGTAAACATGCTTAAGTGTAAAAATGGCTAAACGCCTGTGTTTGTGTGTGTGTGTGTGTGTGTGTGTGTGTGTGTGTCAGTCTCTAAAGAGAAAAGTGGGGGATTAAGGCTCCACAAATACAGATGCTTTTGGTCTATACTGATGTTGTTAATTAGGGAACAAAAACATCTCTTTTATTTCAATTTTCTGCTAATTGTGATGGTTTATTCAAATTCCAGTGTGTTTATAAATGTGATATAAATATGATGCACATTTAGGCAACTGGTCAAGTAAACACAAATGAAAACACAAAGAATCTAATTGTGTATACTCAGCCAAGGACTGTCGAGGACTGTAGTGGGAGCTGCTGTTTGCGTTGAAACGTAAGCCAGCAAATGATTGACGTACTTCCTTTTTGTCAACAAGGCAGCAAATTGTGGCTTTTTGTGTAGAGGAGGAATTGAACTAAAATCAAGAGAAGTCAGCATCATAGGTTCTTGTACAACAAGCACTTATTCTAGTCCTCAAAACAAGACAGGAAATATTTATTTCTATCTGTCAATGACTAACAGACTGTTTGTGTCCACGTGTGTGTCCATGTTTCGGTGTGTTTACCAGGGGAAAAGCAGAGACATGGTGGGATTGTTCCCGGCCAACTTTGTGCAGCGGGTTCGCCCTGGTGAGCGTGTGTGGAAGGTCACCGCTGGTTTCCATGGCAACCGAGACAAAGGCCAGATGACTGTAAAAGAGGGCCAGGTGAACACGCACATAAAATACACACAATCTTTCTCTTGCGCGCGCACACACACTGAACAAATGTATGTAAATTCATGCAAAAAAGTGCTGAGATTACAGAGGACAGCATGCTGTGGCTTCCAGTGCAGCTCACTTTTTTTCCTCCCCTCAGTCCACAAACTCCCTCATATTAGTGAATGTCATTCGCTCCTCCTCCTGCTCCATAACGCTCTCCTCCCTCCCTCCCTCCCTTCACCCTCCCTGTGCAGATCTGTGTGGGGAAGAACGAGGAGATTGACGGTTTCCTCCGGCTGAGCAGCGGGAAGAAGAGAGGCTTGGTCCCTGTGACGTGTCTGCTAGAAATATGATGGCGGCGCTCTTCTCTTTGACCCTCAGTTTGACAAAGAAGTTCACTACGATGGAGGAATACTCAGGAGTGTTTACCCAACACCTCACTGACCGCCAACCACCCACCTCCACCCCCTCCCGAAAAGTGGCAGTGATTTAGCAGCTTGACGTGGACGACCCACAACTTTGCTTTTACCTGCAGACGATTTTAAGAGGTTAAGACTTAAAGGAGGGGACGGGGAGGGGGCTCCTTCAGAGTTCTTTAAAGCTACTTTTTCCTGTAGCACAACTTTACTTTGTGTGGTTTTATACACACTCACAACAGAAATGTAGCACCGTGTTGAAGAGGATAGTGTGCAGGAAGTCTGGCTACCTCACTAGCCATTTCCATTGGCCACCTGTCTGCGAAAAATAGGAGAGGACTACCTTACTATGATGTCAAGGCGTGTCCAAGCCTAAGGGACTTTGTGAGCAAACTGTCTTCATTTCATTGTTTGTGTGTTAGAGAAAAACAAGACATAAGAGATTGTGACAGATTGTAGCTGTTTATCGTAGTGGCTTGTGCAAACACTTTTTGGTTGGTTGTTCAAAACCCTGGACAGATTAGGTTTAATAGATTCAGATAAGGGTGACGATCTGGTTTTATATGTGCAAACATGCACCTCACAATGTACACACGTCCACTGTTGTAATATGGATTCATGATGTGCATATGTGTCACAAAATGATTCAGGTATTACATTGTGTGTATGTAAAGACAACAACAAAAACAAAGTCTCTCTCTGCTACATCTTGGTCAAATGAAAGTCACAATAACACACACAGACAAACACACACACACACATACACACACGTACACAATCATAGTGGGGTTTCTGTATTTCAGACTGCTCTCCAGTGATTAGATTACTGTACATTTGTGCTCTTCACAGTTCTGATGTGACAAATGCTTTCCATGCACCTTGGGGAGCTTCTTTCTCAGTATGCCCTTCAATCACTCTTTACACACACTAACACACAAAGATTTTTATAGTCCACTCTGTTCCACTCTAAAATCCACCACTGGAATCTGCTTCCTGTCATTATATTCTCAGCAGTGTTTATCTGTATGTAATGTCCTGTAATATTCGCTGTCACATCTGGTTGTGTACTATGACATGAGGATGGTGCGCTGTCTTTGACTTTCTAATGTGTTTTCTTTTTCTTGCATGAAGGAGTAGAGCAAAGAAATACTGTAATTCAGGATGATGGATAAAAAAACCAAACTCAGCGTTGTTTGTCAAAAACAGTGGTGAAGGCTGTCAAACTTTCAGTCTCTCAGAGGGTCATGTTCCAAACTTAAGCTGTCAAAGATTTGATGACTGGCTAATGTTTCTCCCAGCACACATGATTCATTTTGAGTAACTCTGAGGGAAAGGCAAAATCACCACACACCATTTGATTTATTGCTCTGTCATTATAAACCATAAGGCAGTGACAAACTGCCTTTGTTGTGGCAATAACTGTAAATAAAAATATGACAGTATTTGTAAATAGCCTTATAAAGATACTGTATATATTGGTTCTGAATAGCACCCTGACCAAGAGGTTTGCAGCTATCCAGGAGCCAACAAAGGGCATTAACTTCACAGTAATAAATTACAGGAGATTATGGTTTATTGTCCCAATTACCAATGTATGCATCATTTTGCTCAATTAACATCTAGCCCTGTCAGCACAAATCTTTTCAAATACTATGCACAACAGTTCTAGTCACTCACTTTATTTTGTACTCCGCTTATTTCCAGCGTAGCCACAAACACACACGTGTCAGTGTATACCTGTGCTTTTGCAAAGATTTGAATTTGGACTCCAGCTTTGGGAGTACTGCAGCTTTTACAGAGCATCCATCTTGAATCAGTCTGCACCATACTAATCCTAAACATTACGTTCACTGGCTAGAACCAAGATTGGCTCAGGATCAGTATTACCCAGGTGAAATACCTTTCCCACCTCAGTGCACACTAACAGGCTAGTTCTTTGCATGGCTAGCTGCCCTTTGATCCTCACATCTCTCAATAAAGTCAGATGAACTGTCCAATTGTGTGGTCTTTTATTTGAGAAATTATTTTGCTTTGCTCCTCGGTTGTGTGCTTTGGTTCCTCTGTCAAAAAGGCAAAAGCAGGGTGAAATGAAGATTTGGTTTGCAAAGAACTTGTGGCATTATCAATAAAGGCAGTATATCGCAGCTTTAATTCAGTGCTGCTATTGTAAGTCTGCATTAATTAGTATTTATTTTTGCCAAAGTATTTTTCCTTCTTAAAAGTCATTCCAGTGTTGAACTCTAAAGATGAAGAAAAGAGCACTTGCTGCAATGTTCAACTGACAACTAAATTCTTAAACTGTGTTTTTTACCTCATAGTCCTGCATTACAAAGTATTGTAAAGTAAAGATTCAGAAGTATCAGTAAAAGTATTTCTTATGTATAATGGACCTTATCAGTCTTATATTACTATTTTAAATGCAATAACATGTAAGCAGTTCTTAAATGTTACAGTTGATGGAGGTGGACATAAATTTAACTACTTAGTATACTTTATAACAGTGCACCATATTTTATAAATCTATGGTGTGTTGTAAAATCTTAATCTGTGACTACAGTGGTGATATAAATGTATGTGGAGTAAATAGCACAGTATGTCCCTGTACATCTAAGTACAGTACTTGAGTAAATGTTGTCATTGACTTTCCACCACTGTATAAAACATACATGGCTGAGATCACTCAGGCACATACAGGGAGACTAGAGTGCCTCTTTCATCTGTGTTCTTCACTGCTTCAACACTGTTTTTTTTCCACACCCCAGTCAAGACTGACGGTCCCTCATATGGTCAAATTATGTTCTGTCCAGTCAGTCAGACAGACAGTGACCCTGACATTAATTAGTAATGCTGTCACTTTTTCACGAGTTGATGTGATAACTGGCAGGAAGACTTGGTGACATATTTCACTGTTGAAACAGTTTGTTGAAGTTATTTTTTCCACCACATTTTAAAGGGTATTACCCCTCACAGGACAACTGGCAACGGCCAATGCAACAACTAGATTATGTTAATAAAACACTGAGCACATTTTTAGGAGTATACAGCCATGTTAGCAGTTCTGTGAGGCATGCACACAATGCTACAATGCTGATGTTTGGCAAGTGTAATGTTTACCATGTTTAGCATCTTAGTTTACCATGCTGAAGTTACCAATTAGCACAAAACACAAAGCTGGGGCTGATGGGAATGTCATGCAGGGATTTAGACTCACTTTTGACTTGATTGTGGAGCTAGATGAAAAATCGGGGGTTTGCCAAAATTACAAAATGTTAAACCAGATTTTATGGCAGTCCATTCAGTAGTTGTTGAGATATTTCAGTCTGGACCAAATTAGTGGGCCGACTGACAGAGACAGACAGACCAACCAACACTGCCATTCATGCAGTAGCGTGACTAAAAACACTCTAATTTTCACCCACCCATGTTTGTCTAAATAAAGTAATAAAAAGCACAACACTCTGCACTTTAACCTCATATTAAGCGTGTAATTTCACACCTAAATTCATAGCTACGGAATGACTTTCAAAATCACTCCCTTCATGGCCACAGAAATACACTGAGATCTTTCATTTGAGTTGACAGTGCAGAGCCTGAGAGGACTTCTTGTTCTTAATGACCATAAATAATATGATTAACTCCCAATAAAATTAATTGGCAACGGAGGAGCTTCTGGCAGGCCACAGACTAAGCTGGCAAAGAGAGTGTTGTGTGTCTGTGTGTGTGTGTGTGTGTGTGTGTGTGTTGTGTGTGTCCCTGCTGTGGTGTGAGGAACATTTCTCAAATCATGACCCAGTTCTGCTATCAAATTGGATCAAATGTGATTTTCGTCTCCGTAGAGAGAGAGACAGAAATGTGTGCAACTGGCAGTACATCAAGCCACTCGTACATTTTATAAAATTGCTGACTTTGGTGCTCAAGATGGCATGGTGCTCTCCACTTACTGTACCTTTCATGACAATGAGCAGTGGAAGTTGAAATCGGTCTCTGAAATTTTCTTTCTGCGACTCAAACGGCAGTAAGCAGAGAATGTAAGAGTAATGGTCTCTCCCTTAGCAAATCATTTTCACTCTTCTTTCATGCTACATCCATCAACATCACCACAAGACACTCAAGTGTTTAGTTTGGGGCAACAAATCCTGACCGAGACTATCACAGAGACCTTAGCGTATCACACCCGCTCCAGAAAACCAAGTAAAATGGCTCATTAAATGTGTGATTTGTTACACAATCATCCCCCTGTCCTATAATGTTCACACTCACTTCTTTGCATCTTTTAAAACTGAGCAGCAGCTGCTATACAGACTCACAGTAGGGGTGATGATCGCTGCACCAGGGCGTTAACAGGCAGCAGGAATATAGCAAAAAATGCAAATTCTGGAAGAAAATCCGTGCTCAAAATAGCACACTTGATTATATAGGCAGGCAGAAGGAGAGGAAAGCTCTGTCAGTGGAAAATAAAGCTTTCTGGTGCTTGGCAGACAAAAAGAAAAAACACCTTACAGACTCCTGCATCAAACACCCGCAAATAAAAATAATCTCCTATCCCTCACTTCCTCTTACGGTCTGTTTTATTCAGTGTATGTGAGAGAATATTACCCACCAATCTAAACATGGTTTGAAATGTGAAAATCTTGCTTCAGTTTGTGGAATATGCACTGTAATATCATACTTTGTGGATGCTTCCTTCTGTCAGTCAGCTCACTCTATCTCCCCTTAAGGATAAAATTGGCCCCACAAGTGGAGTATTCGGAGATTGGGTTCATGAAATTCTATATAGGAGCAGCAGTGTTTGCAAACCATAAGCACAGAAGTAGTCTATCAAAGCAAAAGGGTGGGCAGAGCACTGACACCTTAAAATTACCGTATTGCAAAGTGTGCATTGGATATATGTTGCAATGAGCCGTTGCTCCATTTGCTTCAATTCAGAGGCTATGAAAGCCAAATCTTAAAATCTACAGTCATCAGAACGGAAATAGAGTTTAGATAAATGTGCTGTTTCAGTAGAAATAACCAGATTCAACAGCTTTGCTTTCATTTAAAAACTGTATTAATATTATTTTGTCCACTCAAGGGCAGCAAAAACAAGCTATGAACGCAACACTGACATATTGGTATCTTTTAAATTGATACGGCAAACTTGTTTCCAACCAGTTGCCAATTTACACATCCAGCAGATACGGAGTATCCACCTGAAGAATATCTATAAAAGTCCAATATATGCTTTAATTTTTGCTCTGTTTTTTCTCTTCAGCAAGTCCTAAAGGAAATATGCTCCACCATGTTCACCTAGAAAAATAGCTGCCAGCTGCACGTGGCCAAAAACTATAATGCTGATGAGAGCGGTGAGACTGAACCAAAACAGTGAAGTTGCAGCCTGTTAAACCAAAACGAGCAGCTGAAACACTCTGAAACAGTCCTGAAATGGTCCAGTACTCACAGGTTTTTGTCCATGTGAGTACTCTTACTTCTTACTGCGTAATACCACCTCCTGCCGAGTCTAGCTACGCACCCCTAAACACCTGCGTAACACTTATTTTTTACCCCTGCTGGCTCTCCACAAAGATCTGCCCTTCTCTACCTCTGATTGGCCTTCGTTGGTTTGGTTGGTTAGGGTCAAAGCCGGACAAGAGACAGAATACAGGAGGGGAAAAAGTATGACTGCGTAAAACCTGTAATCACATAGGTAGCTTAACACAGAAAAATTAAGCTAATAAGGGTTAGGGTTATGTTGTCATTAGAGTTGCACATAAGTAGGTCACTGGCACCTTAATTGGTCCAATTGAAGCCCTGCTATAGACCTGAGGAGAGCTGCAGGGTTTGGTGATAATTCTCTGTTGCCACACCTGAATTCTAGATTTTGAAAAAAAGAAAGAAATGGAGGTGTATGTTCCTCCTCCCTGTCTTATGTTGTCCCCATCCTCAGGTTCCAGTCATGTTTACATTCTTCCAGACCCCTGGCCAACTGGACCATTAAAAATGAAGAAGGTACACGGAGATGGCATGTTTAATGCATGGTCTCATCTCCTGCCACTGAGGCTACCTCCGCTTTCTCAGGATGTTGCTTGCACAAACACACTCCTAGTGACAGCAATGAGCACCACATGGCAGAGTCCAGAGGTAAAAGATGGCACACCGAGCTCCAGTGCTTTGAGTCTGAATTGTGAAAAGTAAGCGCACATTCTCTGAGTTGATCTTAGAGGTGGAACAGGACAGAGAAAATAAGCCCCCGGGGTTGACACATGAAAGCTGTCTTTGAAGCATGCTACACTGGGAATGATAGATTTGAGGAATCACATATGCTTCTTTGCTTCTATAGAGTCAGTATTTTAGGGGAGGCCCAGGGTGATTTACTGTTTATTCTCACACATAATAAAAAGAGATCAAGAGAGTTTTATTTATGAGGATGGATTAGCCTCAAACCATTGTCATCTGAATAGTTTCCAAAATCATCTTTCTGTCATAAAAAGCATTGTCTTACAGATAAAACATGAAAAAGAGTGGCGTTGCTCTGAATAGGAACAGACTGAACAATCGGAAAGCAAATTCCTGATTCTTCTTGGTTTTCAGTTGGAAGTACAGCTCAAATCAAGGTAATAACAGGGTAAAATAACACAATATATTTATGGCTCCATTAGAAATAGATTTATAACACAATGTCATGTGACATTGGAAATTTGTGTATGTGTTGTTGCCAAATTAGCTCTTTTGCCAACAGGATGGGCCGGCTGCTGCACTATATTCAGCATTATTGCAATTACCAGAAAAATCCGACAATATTTGGCACTTTTTTTACAGCTTGTATCCAGTCCCAAAAAGTCACATTTGTGTTGCAAGACATAATACACTAAGTTACTAAATGACTCTTTAAATCATGTGATTGGTGAAATTGCTTCTCCATCATCTTTGAAGTTGTTTTCCACCTTTATTTAGATATGTGTTATTTTGGTTTGATTG